AAACTTGACATCCCTCCTTCCCTAAGAGGTAATTTCTTTGCTTTTCCTGACACTTTATTTTTTTTTTTAACTACCTGAGAATACACACCTGAAAAGTGTATTCTTTGGTTTTGGCTACGTTTGACCTTTCTATCAATGAAAATAATTTTGTGGGTGCTTTTCTTACTTTTTCTTCACTCAACATCTTTACTCTTTTTCAAGCCTCTACTTACTTCTTAAAATGCATTAAACATACTTTAAATTCTTGGATTCTTCTCAGTTACACCTGCTGGTGCCTATTCCCTTTGTTAAGTGCTTACTATGAGCTAAGTATGCTTCCCTTGCAACTTGACCTGTGACAATGTGTTGAGGCTGGAGGTGAAGTTGAGTTCCTCTAGTGATTATGTGCCTTTGTATCTGACATTAGGGCACTACAAGTCATGAACTACTTATACTAAACCCTCAGCTGGAAGCTTGTAGAGCCTTCCAGATAGTGTGAATTCCAGCCAGTCTGCATGAGGGCTGGATCATAGCCATGACTTCTCAGGGAAGTTTCTTGTCATCTTCCAGTGAGCATCAGGGTTCTTTCCTGAGGCTGAAAAGGGTGATGAAGAGATCAGATTGTGATTCTACGGAAAGTGTGGCCCAAGTTTATGAAAGGATATTAAGCCAAAGGATCCAAGCGGCATAGTGGGAAAAGGACTGGGGTGTTAACTGCAAGGTTGGAAGTCCAAACCCACCAGGAACTACATGGGAGACATCTGCTCCCATACAGATTTCTAGCCTTGGGAAATCTATAGGTTGCTATGAGTTGGAACTGACTTGATGGCAGTGGCTGGTGGGGACTATTAACTCTTCATTTCTGTTGAGCCCTAGGATTTGTCTTCGGTCCCCCAGCTCCATAAGGCTGGGAATCCAATGCTAAGGTTCACCCAAGCAGGCAAGCAAAAACAGGTTTTAGGCTCCATTTACCTCTCTGGGTTCTTGCTCATTTCAGGTCCATGTTTTGAGTTAAAACCAGAAACCCAACCCCACTACCATCCAGCCTGTTTCTGACTCACAGTGACCCTACAGGGTAGAGTAGACCTGCTCCACCGGGTTCTGAGTCTGTCATCTTTACGGGAGTAGACAGGCTCATTTTTCTCCCCTATGGAGTGACTTGTGGGCTTGAACAGCTGACCTTGTTGGTTAGAAATTCAATGCCTCGTCACATTGTCACCAGGGATCTTCAGTAAACAAAAGATTCAGCTACACTTCCAGTATATCAAGTTGAAAGAGGAATGACATTTATTCTTTACATGTTATGTATACAGTTTTAGATGAAATGCATGCATCACAGTCCCAAATTTTTAAGTATAAATTGTTAGAAAAAGAGTAAGCTTCTCTCCAGAGCCAATACAATACCACCATCTTGGAAAAAAGAGCTACCTAAAAGAAGCCAGAATATAGCAAAATGCTGTCATGAAACACGATTCAATTTTCATTTAGATATATTCTATATAAAGATTTTTTTTGATAAACAGCTTAGTTGGCAAATTTTTAAAAGCAAAAATAATATAAGTTCAATATAAGTACTAATGGTGATAAAGCTCAACTACCATCCATTTTTTCTGTCTTTTGAATTGGGAATGGCATATAGCTCCAGCCCCTCCATGAAAGGAGAACCTGACTGAAGCTAACTGCTATTATGGTGTGGTCACCACAGGCAATGAGGACAAAAATGACTGGAGTCATCAGGAAAGCAACACAAATGCTTTCCTAAACTCCTTTATCTCTTAGGTATGACAAAAGATATAGATAATAGTAAAAGTTATAGACACCATGAATATATAACAACTATGAAAAGGTATGGACAACATTGCAATGTATGAGTATTCTGGAACACTTAATTGTGCTCATGAGGAATCTGTACCTAGACCGAGAAGCAGTTGTTTGAACAGAACATGAGAACACTGAATGGTTTAAAATAAAGAAAGGTGTGTGACAAGGTTGTATTCTTTCACCATACTTATTCAACCTGTATGCTGAGCAAATAATCCAAGAAGCTGGATTATATGAAGAAAAACGTGACATCAGGATTGGAGGAAGACTCATTAACAACCTGTGATATGCAGATGATACAACCTTGCTTGCTGAAAGTGAAGAGGACTTAAAACATTTACTGATGAAGACCAAAGAGCACAGTCTTTGGTATGGATTACATCTCAATGTCAAGAAAACAAAAATCCTCACCACTGGACCAACAAACAACATTCTTATCAACGAAGAAGATTGAAATTGTCAAGGACTTCATTCTTCTTGGATCAACTATCAACACTCATGGAAGCAGCAGTCATGAAATCAGACGACTTACTGCATTAGGCAAATTTGCAGCACAAGACCTTTTTAAAGTGCTGAAGAGCAAAGATGTCAGCTTGAGGTCTAGGCTGTGCCTGACCCAAGCCATGATATTTTCAATTACCTCATATGCATGTGAAAGTTGGATAGTGAATAAGGAAAACTGTAGAAGAATGATGCTTTTGAGTTATGGCATTGGAGAATATTGAAGGTGCCATGGGCTGCTAAAAGAACCAATAGATCCATTTTTGAAGAAGTGCAGCCAGAGTGCTCCTTGGAGGCCAAGATAGTCAAACTTCATCTCTCATACTTCAAACATATTGTCATGTTTGGTAAGGTTGAGGGTCAGAGGAAGATCCCCAATGAGATGGACCGGCCAAGGGGCAGCACCGATGGACTCAAGCGTAGTAACAGTAGTAAGGTTGACCCAAGATAGGGCAGTGTTTCGTTCTGCTGTGCATAGTGTTGCTATGAGTCGGTACCGACTCGATGGCACAACAAATGAATATTTATGCACAAAATAGCAAAGCTATCACCTTGATGAGCCAGAATCTATAGGAGATCCATGCACAAAATACGATAGAAATCAGGGATTTTAATATCCATTCTCAGTACAAGGCAGTTCAAGGGCACAAAATATAAGTAAGAAGAGCCCAACAACATAATCAGTAGGGTTGTTGTTGTGCAGTGCTGTCGAGTCGATTCTGACCCACAGCGACCCTGAGTCTTATGATTATATATTGACTTCTAATACAGAAAACACTTTGTTCTCAGGTGTTCACAGCTACAAAAGCTGATCATATATATTAGATTATAAAGAAAATATCACTAAATTCCACAAAGTAGAAACACGACACCAAAAAACAAACCAACACACAATCCTGTAACCACAATGTATGAAAACTAGTTCTTACAGCCACAAAAATAGGAAGGCTTCTTGTCTGGACATTAAAGAGAGAAATTTTAAAAATAATAAAAATAAAACCACTATGTATTAGAATCTATGTGGTACACTTAGAGCTTTCATCAGAGGAAAAATCACTAAACAGCTTTATCATCATAAATGAAAGAATTTAAACAAATGAATTCTCACTTCCAAAAATTACAAAACAAAAAATAAGTGAAAGGAAATACAAAGAAGGAAATAGCAAAGAAAAAGCAGAAACTAAATGTAGAGAATGAAAAACAGTAACCTAATGGAAAAAAAGATATTTAAAAATCCGTAAGATATTTCTGTTGAGTTCTGTGCAAATAAATTTGAAAATCTAAATCAGATTATTTCCTATACAAATAACCAATTTACAGCGAGAAAGATGACACAGACCAATTTTCATAAGAGAAACAGACAATGTTATTAAGGAACTATTCCACAAAAAAATGCACCAGGTAAAGATGGTTTCAGAGAGGAATTCTACTAAATCTTCCATTAGTCTTAATGCTTTGTAAACTTTTCAGAGCATCACAAAGCTAGAAAAATTTCTTAATCCCTTTTATGAAGTATAATATTGATACTTAAGTCAGGTAAAGAGAATTCAAAGAGAAAGAAAACTGTAGTCCCGTATCACTTGGGGATATTGTTGCAAATATTTTAACAAAGTATTTTAGGAAACAAAATCCATTATGAAAATACATTGTGAAAATACTTCAAAACCAAGTAAGATTTATTCCAGAAATGCAAGGTTGGTTTAATGTTAGGAAACCCATCAATGAACACCTTGTTAACAAATCTAAGGAAATAAAGAATATGAGCAGTTCCATAGATTCTGAACAAATTTTTTTGACAAATTTGTAAAAACCATTCTTCAATCAAAGGAACCAGGTTCATTAGAAAAAAATGCTATAACAGTTCTTCAGGCTTGGGGCAGAAAAATCATGCATATGGAACACCTTTTGTGTCAGTAAGTAAAGACATGTCCCAAATAGTATGGGGCCTTGTCAAAAAGACACAAGAGCCAGCCTTAAGGAACTCCTAATAGCTAAAGTTGGCATTTATTCAGCAACGGAATAAATATTGATAGTACTGGATTTAAATAAATTCAATTTAAAATAGATACCCATGAGTCTATAATGATAGAAATAAAAAAGTAAGTGGAGGGAAAGAGACAGCTGTTCTTAACAAAAGGATTATTAATAAATGTAGAAAGGAAAAGGGAAGTAGAAAATCACTATTAGGCAAGCCTCACAGTTATAACTATTGCAGGCAACATCTACTAATGGACATTAAAATTGTTGTTGCTAGGTGCTGCTGAGTCAGTTCCATCTCATGCACAAAAAGAAACATTGCCTGGTCCTGCACCATATGGGTAGTAAAATTAGTGGCTGAAAAGTTGAGAAGAAATAGGCTGCATAGACTCAAAGCATCTCTTCCCCAAAGATCATAAATTCTAAAGGGAAAGACAGCAACTTTACAGTTATCCAAACTAGTTATGTCTTACTGCTATCCAGAAGTATCAAAACTAACTCAGGCATGAAATTTTTAAAGGTAGTATATATTTTACAACAATGTTGTTAAGTGCCATTGAATCGTTTCCAACTTACAGTAACCCTGTATAGGGTTTCCAAGAGGCGACTGGTGGGTGGATTTCAATCACCAACCTTGTGGTTCAAACTGACCAAAGGTAGAGTGCTGATCCTACAGCACTACACCAGGACTCCACGTTTTACAATAGTACATTAAAATCCCTTTAATACCACAGAAATACCAACCTTTTGAGACCTGGCTCTTTTAAAGAGAGAGGAATACATCTTCTTCTTCTGCTTGGAAGTTCTGAAGCTGGATCTTCTGCCTTATTTTCAGATTCTGGAGTGTTATTTGAAACAAAACTGGTATTTGTCAAGTCTTGCAGTGCTCTATCACCTGAAAGTAATATAGTTTTACAAATATTTGTAAAAACAAAATGAGAGATTCATGAGCAACACATTCTGAAACCTAACAATTATCAAGGTAAATGTTAAATACTATAATAGTAGCAATAAACATATTTGTGTACTAGTTAAAATTTTTTCCAGTAATTCTGAAACAGTAAAGAGACAAATTTAAACCAAATAGCCTCCAACATTTTTATTCTAAAGGCTGACAAAAAAAATCTTCATGGTTCAACTCTATTCACAGATGCATACACATTGCTGCACAATGATTCCCTCAACGTCTCTTTCACGGACTGTTCACTCTGGAAGGCATCGCGTTGAGGACAGAGACGAAAGCTGCTTCACACTAGTCCGTAAACATAACCTGCAATTCTAGTCCTTTGCACTTAATTTGTTTCAGTGTGTCTTTTACTTTTTACCAATAATAGACTTATCTATCCAAATCCTACAAAATTTACATACAAACTGTACATGGAAGTACATATATTGAAATGTTAGGCTCTGTAGAAAAACTTTTTGACATGGAAATGTCTAATTCATGATACATTTATAAATTCCTCCAGTCAAAACTATTCTCTATCCTACACCTTTAGCAGAACTGTTTATGGTTTTATTAAAGCACTAGCCACTTTTACATAACTCTGTGCTGAGGAAAGAGAGCTGATATTCTTTAACCATCTACACTAACTAGTACTATGCTTTGATCATATTATCTAGAAATGCTTCAGGTTGTTGTAAAATGCCTTCCAGATGGTTCCAACTCATATCAAACCCTATATAGGGTTTCCAGGGAGCAGCTGGTAGGTTTAAACCACCAACCTTGCAGTCAGTAGTCTCGTGCTTATCCTACAGTGCCACATCCTATTAAATGGAAAAATAATCCTACCCTAAGACTTGTCATTGCCTTTTGTCAAATAAAACCAGTAAAATTTATTATTATATTTACTTAAAACACTTAATTTTCTTCAAGCATAGGAAAAAAAATTATCTGCCAAAAGCCTTCTGATGGACTAATTTATGTATGATAAACTCTAAATCAGATTTTGTGAAAATGTTTTATTGTGCCAAATCAGTTTTACAGGCTGTAACCACTGATCTTGCAGTTCAAACAGGTTTGCACCACTAGCTGCTCTTCGGAACCCCTGTACAGGGTCTCTATGGGTCGTAATCAACTCAACATCACTTAACAACAACAAAAAAGTGGTGGTGGTGGTGTGGTGGTGGTGGTGGTAGGAGTGGTTGTGGGTGGTGGTGGTGGTTGTGGGTGGTGGTGGTGGTGTGTGTGTGTGTGTGTAATTGTAATGTGATCACACCAGTATTGACTGACATACCTATTCCTGATTTGACAGTCCTCTGGATGACTTTACATTTCATTTCTCTGATCTTCTCTTGTACATCATCAGTTATTTGAAGGATTGGTGAGTTCGTCAAGACAAAATTTCTTTTGATTGTATTTTTACTAGAAGTTATACTCAAAGGCATAGAACCCTCCAGAACAGTGTTAGAGGAAGAATCTTGTACTTTAGGTAAATGAACCTGAGACACAGGTTTAGACATCTTTCTGCTAAAGTCCGGCTCAATTCTGACAATGTGTTCAATCTCCAATTTTTTTTCCATAACAATTTGTTCAGATTTGACTGGCTCTCCCTGCACAGTGTAAGGTATCATCTCCAGTCCTTCATAGCTATCTGGAGGAGGGTCTGTGGCAGGCTTCCTTTTCCTTTGTCTGGATAACATTTTCTTTGCTTTTTTGACCTGGAATTCTCCTTCTATCACTTCCACAAATGGGAAATCTCGTTTTTTATTCAGCGTTGTAGTGCTTTGCCTCTGATTCTCATGTAATTCCATTTGGTTTCTAGGATTAGAATCGGACTCACCCGTAATTTGTTTTAAACCTGATTCTAAGGAGATGTAACCCTGTGAAGAATCTGTTAACTGTAAAAGAGGTTTGTGCTTACCTTTAGCCAAACTCTTCTTTGCCTTGCCTGATGAATCTTTCCTATGCTTTTTAATTAGTTTGCAAGGATTTAAAATTTGGTCACAATTTTCCTTTTCATTATTGTTGACCTCCATACACTGCCCACTGCTAATGCCTTGGCACTCAAGTTTCCATTTAGATTTACTTATTTTAAAATCAAGATGGTTTATATTACTGTCTGGACCATCCATTTCGTTGTCAATATCCTTGTATACATGGCTCATTTCAGAAATTACTTCTGTTTTCCGATTTACTTTCTGCTTGCATTTCTTATTTATTTTTGATTCATTATGCTGAATAGGTTGCATATCAGTGATATGCTTTTCGAAACCCAACAAATTCTGGGTCCCATAATTATATAGATTTCCATCATCTTTGGTGGAAAGATTGGCTGTTTGAAATGCATTTACAATTTCTGGAGCTTCAGAATTGGTTTCTTTATCCTCTTGAGTTAGGGTAAAGCAGCTACCTTTTATTGGGTCATACACATCTTTGTTATTATAGTCATTTATTTGATTCATTTCAGAAATGATTTCTGTCTTCCTATTTACTTTCTGCCTAAGCTTCTTATTTATTTTTGATTCATTCTGCCGAGAAGGTTGTATATCAGTGACATGGTTTTTCGAGTCCAACACATCCTGCTTCTCATAATCAGGCCATAGGTTTCTATTACCTGTAGTGGAAGAACCAGCTATTTGAAACTCACTTGCATCTTCCAGGTTTTCAGGGTTGGTTTTTTTATCATTCTGGGTTATAGAAAAGAAATCACTTTTTTCTGAGTTCTCATATATTTGGTTTGTTTCAGAAATAATTTCTGTCTTCCGATATACTTTCTGCCTAAGCTTCTTAGGTATTTTTGATTCATTCAGACAAACAGGTTGCATATCATGGACACGTTTTTTTACCCCCAAATCATTCTGAGTCCCATAGTCACATAGGTTTCCAGTATCTTTGTTAGAATGAGCAGGTGCTTCAAACTCAGTTGAGTCTTCTAGGTTTTCAAGGACAGCCTTTTTGTCCTTCTGGGTTAGGAATAAAATGTTATTCTTTTCTAAGCTATGTACACCCTGCTCATTATCTGTATGATTCATTTTAGAAATGATTTCTGTCTTCCGACTTACTTTCTGCCTAAGCTTATTTACTTTTGACTCATTTTGCTGAACAGGTTGTGTATCAGTTATCTGCTTTTGCAAACCCAACACATTCTGGAGCTCCCAATTGCACAGGTTTCCATTATCTATGACTGAAAGAGCTACTGTTTGAAACTCACTTGAGACATTTACATTTCCACAGTAGTTCTTTTTATCTTTCTCGGTTTGGAAAAAAAAGTCTTCCATTTCAGGGTCACGTACATTTTTATCATTATTCTCATATATTTGGTTCATTTCCGAAACTATCTCTGTTTTCCGATTTATTTTCTGCTTAAGTTTATTTACTTTTGACTCATTTTGCTGAGCCAGTTGCACACCAGTGACCTGCTTTTTCAAACCCAACACATTCTGTTTCTCCCAACTGCACAGCTCTCCATCATCTGTGTTGGAAAGAGCCGATGTCTTAAATTCACTTGAGGTTTCTACATTTCCAGAGATAATTTCTTTATTCTTCTGGGACTGGAAGGAAAAATCATCTTTTTCTGGGTCGTGCACACCTTTATCATGATTCTCATATAGGTGGTTTATTTCAGAAATTATTTGTGTTTTCTGATTTATTTTCTGCTTAAGCTTCTTATTTCTTTTTGACTCTTTTTCCTGAGCAGGTTGTATATTGGTGACATGGTTTTTCAAGTCCAACATCTTCTGGGTCTCAAAATTATGTAAATTTCGATGCTCATTGGTAAAAAGATCAGCTGTTTGAAATTCATTTGTGATTTCTAGGTTTTCAGAACTGGTTTCTTTATCCTTCTGGTTTAGAAATATGTTACCTTTCTCTAACACAAATGTCTGCCTCGAAACTTTACTTTGATGACAAGGAAGGGAAATCGGACCGATATCAAATTTATAGTCCTGCTGGAATCTATTGGAACTTTGGGCGAAAGAGCATGTTTCCTCTTGCTCACTCATTAGATATGTGCTTTTCTTGTTACTATGTGTATTTTGTCTGTCATCTTGATCCAGATCATTAAGAAGTGTTGTTTTCTTCACTATGTTCACATGAGTCAGCTGTTCAGAATTGAAAATAATATTTGGATCTTCTAAAACACATTTGTCATCTACAACAACAGCTCTTTCTGGCATGTTTTCATTCTTTCCCTCAACATCTACATCCAAACTATTTTTAAGTTGTTTTTTTGATCTTTCTTTCTTTTTTTTAGAGCTTGAGTCTTTCACTTTTCTGAAAGTTTTCATTCCACAATCATTTGGTTTTTCATTACTCCTATTTTTAGTGTGGGTTGAAACTATAGTGATCTTGCTTACTTCACCAGCAGTTAAGTCCATGTCAGCATCATACAGAGTTTTCTGCAACTGCAAGTCATCATCAGCCTGGACTTTATTCGTGTCTTTCGTAGAAGCTTCACTCACAGTCTTAGAAGCTGAGCCAGGTAGGCACTGGATCTCTCTCTGCATTGTAACATTTGTTTCATAAGTATGGTTGTGAATCTCATTGCGCCTATTTAAATCTAGACTTGGGTTCGGCTGTTGATGTAAATCCGCCAAAAAGGGAGTGCAAGTGGAAGAATTATTTGACTCCCAAGATGGTACACGTTTCTTCCTTTCAGTCACATTACTAAGAGACGGCTTCTCTTTTCCATGGCTGATGGACTGGACACTATTCATCTCACTCAATAGGGAGCTCTTGGGACTTTGTTCTGAATGGGAATGGCTTTCTATATAAAACAAATGGAAAGAAAGAAAATTCAGACATAATTAGTGAAAAGGAATGTCCAATTTTAAACAAATGAGATTAGTAAGCACTCTTTCACAGATAGGACTTCTGTCATTGTATTCTGTTACTCAAAGACTCTATGCTGATAACAATAAAGTAGAAATACAATTTTACTAAGCCACATTTTACAGTTGTATATGTAGAAAATATATACTGAAAGATCACGGTATTGCAGCCAAGTATAGTCAACAGTATAGCCACACTTCTAAAGTGAAGGAAGGCTAGCAAACTGCCCTAAATCACAGGGATAACTCTGATCAGGAGTATTATGAAAAGGCTGTCAATAACTCACTAAAGTTTACATAAATACATGCAAATCTTCAGAAATGAAAACACATAAGTACAGATGATCATTTAAAATCATCATCATCATTTTCTCCTGCTCAACAGTACTCATACTCAAAGGTTGTTTATTCCAGCTGAATGGTAATGACTTGGAAAAAGCCACTGCATTCATACAGATCCCCATTTTCTTACTTATAAAAGGAGAAGGTGAAAATAAACTAAGTGGGCTATTTTGATTCTATACTAGGACACCAAGACTCTTTAGGCCACTGTAGATCTGACATTTATCAAGTTGTTGTTATTAAGTACTGTCGAATCAGTTCCAATTCATAGAGTCTTTGAATAGGGTTTTCCAGTGAGCAGCTAGTGGGTTTGAACCACCAGGCTTTCAGCTAGCAGTCCAGTGCTTATCCTACAGCGCCACTCCAAAACTCCATATATCATTATATTACTTTTAAATTAAATTTTTCAACAGATGTTTTAAACAGTAAAAGTTAGCAAATCTATAATACAATAGGTCTAACAACAACAATCTAACTTATTGGACGTGTGGTGTGGCACAGTGGATCAGCACTGGACTACAAACCTCAAGAAGAAAATCAGATAGATAAAAATCATTTAACACTGATATTCAAAAGGAACCTTTTAAGCAATCTCACCTTTGGAAAGTACATCAATAACAGAAGAAATATGTTCTGAGTCCTCTAAACCATGCACACTCTGTTTTTTTTCTTTAAGAAAAGGCAATTCCAAATTACAATGAGTTGACAAAGGTTGCTTTGTTGATACCAAAGAGTGAACATCAGTTGATGCCTTTGATATAACGTTGTCACACTGAATTTTCTCCTTATCATTATCATCATCATCATCATCATTTGAAGTTAATGGAACCCTACAAACAAGTGGGAAATTCTGGGATAAGAAATTTTTTATCTTATAATAAAAATTATTTAGTAGATTGCATGAATAATGCTTTCTATATTCCATTTATTTATGAATCAATCAAAATCGCACTCACTAATCTTTGTGAAATAAGCAAATTCTGCTGCTGTTGTTGCTAGATGCTGTTGACTCACAGACAGCGCTACGGACAACAGAAGGAAACACTGCCTGGTGCGGCGTCATCCTCACAGTCGTCATTACATCATCCTCACAATCGTCATTACATCATCCTCACAATCGTCATTACAACATCCTCACAATCGTCATTACATCAGCCTCACAATCGTCATTACACTTGAGCCCATTGGTGCTGCCACTGTGTCCATTTCACGGGGGTCTGACGAGTAGTTTCTACTAGTATAGAGTGTGGCATGCTTCCTAGCTCCATAGTCACTAGTTGGGCTATTACAATAATAATATTAAAGAAATAAAAGTAAAATACACTTACAAACCTCAATCTATCATATTTATACTTTTCTTTTACTTCTATGGAATAAATACAATCCTTCCTCTGGCTTTATAGAGGTAAAACTGTATGTAAAGTTATGTGAGAAATAAGTTTGTTACAATTCCAAAATCATCCATGTGAATGAAATCAGAAACCCACAGAAATGATCTGATAAAATGACATTCTTGAATTCAAAAGAATGAAGACCAAAATCCCATAATGCTAAAGATCCTGCCTTGAACGCTGAAAAAAATTCAGATTTTATAAAATTGTTGATAGTGAAAAAAATACTGAAAAATATTTGTTCAAATTTTAAGATAATGATAAGTAATGATAAATTTAAAATGTGAAAGAAAGTTGCTCTGAACCTAAAATTCTACAGTGGCTCATTCTTAACAATGAAAATAAAATAAGGTGCTTCCAAAAGACAAACAAAATTCAGCAGCAACTCAATTCCTTGTCACTCTGCACTTGGAGAAACAAGGATTTCTTCAGGCAGAAGGAAAATTATTTCAGAAAGAAATATTAAAATGCAGCAATGGATGTGAAAAATAGGAAAGGTAGATGTGTAAGTCATTAGGATAAGTACTAGACTGTGAACCACAAGGTAAGCAGTTCAAACCCATCAATCACTCCTCGGAAACCCTGTATAATACAAGAGGGAACTAACTTGACAACACTTAACAACTATCAAATAGCAAGTTTTATTAAAAAACTAGTAAGACAGTGTGGCATTGACAAAAGGCCTCATGTAATAGCGAGTTCAGAAACAAACACATATGTATCCAGTCACCTAATTTATGACAAAAATGACTTGCAGTAAAGTGGACAAAGACTGTTCTTTTCAATAAATGGTCAACAAAACCACTGGTTAAAACTTGGGACAAATGGTTTATGGTCAACTACATACAGCGAGATCTGCGAGGCAGCGAGATCTGCGAGGCAGCGAGATCTGCGAGGCAGCGAGATCTGCGAGGCAGCGAGATCTGCGAGGCAGCGAGATC